CAGTCAGACTGAAGATGTCAGGGAAGTGACCAAAGCAAAGCATGCGAGCTTGCAAGGCTCCCCACACACGGGACCCTAAACCCTAAACCCTAAACCCTAAACCCTAAACCCTAAACCCTAAACCCTAAACCCTAAACCATTCGGGTTTGGGGCTCAGGGGACAACAGCAACATCAACGGGCGACATCACGCGCCGAACTGATGGCCCCCCGGCAATCGGGCCAAAACTGCCTTTCGCAAGTTACGCGGCTTTCGATGCTACTCGACATCCCAACCTTCACCAAACCCTAAACCCTAAACCCTAAACCCTAAACCCTAAACCCTAAACCCTAAACCCTAAACCCTACAACGCGAAAGAATGTTCCGGGGCGACCCATGCACCGCCACTTCCGAATTAGGGTTCGGGCTTTGAGGTTTAAGTGTCATGCGGTTTGTCTTTCTACAGGGTCAGGGATAGGGTTCCTTACAGGCAGATGTTGCAATCTGATTCCGAAACGCAGTACACGCTACAAAAGATACTAGTTCCGCTGAAAGGGGTAGGCGGTCCTGATTCCCACTCCTTTTAGGGGCCGTAATAAGTAGAACAGGCTTTTGGGGGCTTATTATAGTATAATTTATAAGAGCTGAAACCCTAAACCCGAAACCCTAAACCCTAAACCCTACTATTCCGACCCCTGTATTGACAGCCCGGAGCTGCCACCTCGGGAAGTAGCGCCATTGCCGCTCGCAAGGGCGCGCTAAGGAGGCTTGAAAGCGGTGGCTGCTCCACAGATGAAACGAATTGGGGCTTACTTGGATACTAGCCCAATTACAGCTGTACTTCGAACAGGATTCTAACCATGTTAGGGCACTTCAGGGGCTTATAAGTGGGTTATATATATATATAGGTATATATATATATATACGTACCATGGTAGGGCCCTCAAAGGCAGCAAGTGACAGCAAGAGTGGCTTGACATGAAATCAACACAAAGCCCTTTCTGGTCCCAAACCCTGCACCCTGAACCCGAAAAACCCTTAAAACCCTAAACCCTGAACCCCAAACCCTCAACCACTGCACGTTCTCTGTCAACAGCTAGCATGTCCTCTACGCCGAGGCCATCCAACCCTTGCCAGCGCCGTCTCAACGCCACTGCGGCCTCCGCACTGCCCAACCTGTCCAAAAAAGTTTACTATTCAGGGTTTTGGGGTTTAGGGTTCTGACCCTAAAACCCTAGAGCCAAACCCTAAGCCCCTTTCGGCCTCACAACCCTACAGGACGTCAGGGACGTAAGATTTCGGGCTCAGCGTTTTCCAGACCCAAAAAAAAACCAAACTGGAGTGCGCAAGAGAGGGCGAGTGAGAGAAAGGTAGAGAGAGAGAGAGAACAACAAAAAAAGAGGAAAGCTGAACCTCTGAAGGCCAGACCCCAAAACATACACCTGGGTGCATAACCCTTCAGGGTTCAGGGTTTAGGGTTTCCAGAGCAGCCGCAGGCAAGTAAACCATGACAAAGCGCTAAGAAAGGGAACGTGATTCGGCATACACGTCATCCTTCATGTCAATACTAGATATGGTTGCAGGTAACTGAATACACCCACAAATAAAACACACATATGCATTTGTGCATATGTATACAAGTGCATGCGTGCATGCATGCATGCATGCATGCATGTATGTATGTATGTACGTTTTTGGTAGCAATAAATATGTAGATCAATATACAGAAAAATATTTATTTATTTATGTATATGAATATATATATATATACACACATATTGAAGCATTTGTATGTGTGTGTGTGTGTGTGTGTGTGTGTGTGTGTGTGTGTGTGTGTGTGTGTGTGTGTGTGTGTGTGTGTGTGTGTGTGTGTGTGTGTGTGTGTGGGTACCTGCCTGCCTGCCTGCCTGCCTTGCCTGCCTGCCTTGCCTGCCTCGCCCTGCCTGCCTCGCCCGCCTCTGTGTTGTCGGTGTTGTCTGTGTGGTCTGTGTTGTTGTGTTGTCGGTGTTTTACGTTGTCTGGCTGTCTGCCTGTCCTGTGTATGTGTAGTATTACCCTAAACCCTAAACCCTCAACCCTGAACCCTAAACCCTAATAAACCCTAAACCCTAAACCCTAAACCCTTATCCAATATTTGGATATGTGATCTCGACCCCCTCCGCCTCCCCGCCCCGGCGCATCTATGGTTTCCGGATTTGGGAAGCCCATACATCGCAAGCCTGGTAAACCGGGTTTAGGGTTTAGGGTTTAGGGTTTAGGATTCAGGGTTTAGGGTTTAGGGCCATCCCCAAAAAAAGGGATCCTAAACCCTAAGCCTACGGCTTAAGCCCAAATCTCCCCCATCTTGGGGTTTAGAGTTTAGGGTCTAGGGTCTAGCCCTAAACCCTAAACCCTAAACCCTCAACGCTAAACCCTAAACCCTAAACCCTCAACGCTAAACCCTAAACCCTAAACCCTAAACCCTAGGGTTTGGGGGCCCCAATCTGAGGCCTCTTCACTGGCAGGCCCTCCGCCTCCCAAGCCTCAGCCGGTCAGCCGGGAACAGAGGTTTGTAACTAGGATGGCCCTTAAACACCTCTGAAAAATATTCCTGAATATGACCCTCTGAAACCCAATAAGGGAATTTATTAAAATGTCCCAAGGGCCTCCCTAGGTAAGGGTTTCGGATCTGGGCTCGCCATTCGGAAAATTACTTGACTACCAGGGTTCTGGAACAGGGTTTAGGGTTTAGGGTTTAGGGTTTAGGGTTTAAGGAACTCAAAATGGAATTAAGCTACACGAACAAGGAAACCCGTAACTCCAGCTGCTTATGGTGAAGTTGACAGAGCTGTACCGGCCCTACAATTCTTGCGCATCGTGTCTGGAACGCGGGATTTAGGGCTTGGGGTTTGGAGGGTGGAGGGTTTAGGGTTTAGGGTGTGTAGGGCCGAAACCCCGACCCCAAAGCTAAGCACCCTCAGCTTAGGCCCTAAAGCTCCCCTCACCGCAAAGCCCTCAGCCGCTGCAATGCTTCGCGTCGAAGGACGTAGAGCATTGGCTCAATGTGGTTCGAAGGTTGTAGGTTTGGGGGGTACTGCCCTGAACCCTGAAAACCGATACACGGCATTCTGGTACATCCCTTCCGGTTTTGGGTACCAACAAGAAGGCCATAGTTGAGATTCAAGGTCAGCCCATCAACCCGAAACTACTAGCTGCTGAAGAACCCCCCAGAAAGGTATCTTCTTCCTTGCAAGGGCAATGTAGGGATTGTTTCTTTACTAGCTTTGGGGGCTTCTAGGCAAATAGAAGCCCTAAACCCTAAACCCTAAACCCTAAACCCTAAACCCTAAACCCTAAACCCTAAACCTTTAAGGCCCCGCTCTGCAAACTCTGCAGCCCGGGCCTTTTGTGGACCGATGTGCAGCTCACGCAGACTCTGCAAACAATCGGCTGAAGGCAGCCGAAGGTTTGACGTTTAGGGTTTAGGGTTTAGGGTTTAGGGTTTAGGGTTTAGGGTTTAGGGTTGTCGCCTACACGGCCTTGGCAAGGGTTTAGGGTCTAGGGGTTTCGGGTCTAAGGATTATAGGGTTTAGAGTCTAGGGTTTAGGCTTTGGGGCTTGGGGTGTTTGGGGTTTCAGGTGTCGTCTCCTTTGGGTTTAGCGTTTAGGGCTTCCCAAAACCCTGAAACCAAACCCGAAAACCCTAAGCCGCTTAAAGAATTCAACCCTCAAGCCCCAGAAGCCCGCAACCATCACCACGGTGAAGCAGGGCGTTCATTGCTAGTATCACCAAAAGTTCACTCAATATATATATATATATATATATATATATATATATATAATTATAATTATACATATATACACATTCACCAATATGTATAAGGAACCCCATGTACACTGTCCGAAACTCTAAGATCAACTGTTAAGCCCCTAACCCGCACTCCTCGACACTCGGAGCCCCCTTGCCAGGGTCACTTTCAGTAGTCGTCACCAGGTGGCATCACCTCGGGTGTATATGTATCTTGGGCTCCCCTACTATCCCCCTCTATACTACCCCCCCCCCCCTAGGTTCCCCCCTTGGATAACCTTAACTGAGCTTAATTATCCCTAAATAGCCATAATTATGAATGTAGAGGGCTTTAGGGTGTAGGGTTGAGGGTCTTGTCAGGCTGAAGGGTTTAGGAATTCGACCCCTTCACCGAATGGAGCCGCCGCTTACCTCAGGGCAAATTGGTAGCCTACTGGTTTTAGGGTTTAGGGATCTTCGGCCTCGGAGTTTAGGATTGCAACCACCCAAAAATGGTCTGATGCCTTCGTAGCATCGTAACAGAGACAACACCGTAAGCCGCAAGAGCACCCCAAAGCGAGCTACAGCAGACCCCTTTGCCACATGCAAGATGAGCTGATACACATGTGGGGGGTTGATCTACACTATGGGGCCCAATCTTGTCCTTGTAGTTTAGGTGTGGCAGAACCTACAGAAGTGAGGTCCTGAGGTTGGGGTTTAGGGTTTGGGGTTGAGGGGTTAATGCTTTAGGGTTGGGTTGACACTGTAGTTTCGCCAGGTTGCTTGTGGGACCCGCAAATCCCACCCCACCTATCCCCTAAACCCCAAACCCTTTCTTTTTTACAGTAGGTCTCCTTACCACTGAACCCAAAGACCTAAACCCTAAACCCTAAACCCTAAACCCTAAACCCTAAACCCGAAACCCTAAACCCTAAACCCTAAACCCTAAGCCCCGATGGGCCTTGAAGTCTGCGTGCGTAAACATAGGCCCGAGGCCTCCGCAGCTGCAGCTTCACTAGGGTTTAGGGTTTATTGAGTTTATACGGTTTATAGGGTTTATAGGGTTTATAGGGTTTTTAGGGTTTATAGGGTTTATAGGGTTTATAGGGTTTATAGGGTTTAGGGTTTAGGGTTTAGGGCTTAGGGCTCTCTCTAGGGTCCTCTGTGCAAGGGCACTTGGAGGTTCGTCATATTTAAAACCCAGCTGTAACTGCCCCAACATGGTTATAATTGGGGTAGGAAGTGCAGGTATAGTTGGCTAGTACATATCATCTCCAAGAAGAGGGTTGAAGGCTCTTTGGCTTCAAGATCTAAAGCTCATCTCTAAGGGCAGCTACATGATCCCTTGGTACGGGTCCTTAAGAGGGTACCCCGTTTTTTCCACCCCAGACAAAACAAGGGCCCATATATCAGAACCCTTTAGAGGAGGTGAGGGAACATATTCAGGCTTGAAACTACCCTGAGAACAATCCAAGGACAAGTAATTTCATCAGCTCTGGTTGCCAGAAGGGGCTGAGCCGTTGATCATCTTTTCATTTTAAGTTCTTCGAGGATCTGTGCGGCAACCCTAAAACCCTAAACCTTGCGCACCCCGCTGCTGTAGTCCTAAATCTGTCCAAATAAAACAAACCTCCACGAAGTCCCGAAGCCCTGCCCGATCCCAACCCACCCCCCCCAACCCCCCCTCCTCCATCCGTGTCTAATAACTACTAAGAATCGTGGGGTGGTTCCCTAACCCTAGACCCTAAACACTAAAGGTGCCCTCATCTTAACCCTACTACTGCTCCCCTACGCCTACACCCAAAACCCTAAAGGTCCCCGAACCCTAAACCCTGACAAAGGCCGCCTCCGCGGAACTGCATGCAGTTGACCATGCGCAGCTCTCCATCCCTTTTGCTCTCGAGGCAGTGCTTGTGGAAGTGAATTTTTCCGTGCTCAAACCTGCCAGGGTGTCGAGGGATTAGCCCCAAACCCTTTTAGCATCCACGCCTCTTCGAACACTGCCGGACCTAAACCCTAAACCCCAAACCCCAAACCCGAAACCCTAAACCCTAAACCCCCAAAGTCAAAATCGGGCTGTTCAAGGTGCCTGGGGCTCCTAAATGCGAAGCCCTGCAGGCTCAACGGAGAGGCTTCTGTACTCCATCCTCTGCTCATAGGTTGGAGGTACTGTAATCCCTATTGAGGACTGTTAAACAGTCTTTAGGGTTCAGGGTTCAGGGTTAGGATGTTCACCCATATACTAAATACTAACAGCCCTTAAAAGGGATTATAATCGGGGGGTACTAGAATCCCTAACATCCCTGGTTTGCTCTTGCCATTATGGGAACTGCTTCGTATTGTTCATGCTACTGCTTCCTTGTTTTTGAGAGGGGGGGGGGGGGCGGTATCTCAAGTAAGGTAAGCACTTAAACCCTCATCCCTCAACCCTAAACCCTAAACCCCTCAGGATTACTAAGGGCAACCCGGAAATATCTTAAACCCGAAAACATATTGTTCAAACCAGCAAAGGTCACCTTTAAGGGGGTCGATGCGAGATGTCGAGCCGAATACGGATCCCTGTATAGTTTTAAGGCGTACTCCTTGATTAAGGGGGGTTAGGGTTTAGGGTTTAGGGTTTAGGGTTTAGGGTTTAGGGTTTAGGGTTTAGGGTTTAGGGTTTAGGGTTTGGGTTTAGGGTTTAGGGTTTAGGGTTTAGGGTTTAGGGTTTAGGGTTTAGGGTTTAGGGTTTAGGGTTTAGGGTTTAGGTTAGGGTTTAGGGTTTAGGGTTTAGGGTTTAGGGTTTAGGGTTTAGGGTTTAGGGTTTAGGGTTTAGGGTTTAGGGTTTAGGGTTTAGGGTTTAGGGTTTAGGGTTTAGGGTTTAGGGAGGGGTATTGGGCTTCTTGGGCTTTTGGGCAAGGCTCCTCAGCTTCTGCGTCGGGCTCCTGGAAAAGTGGGGGACCCTAAACCCTAAACCCTAAACCCCAAACCCTAAACCCTAAACCCTAAATCCTAAAAAACATCGTTTTATTGAGTGTCTTATCGGGCCATTTTTTTTTTTTGGGGGGGGGGGGGGGGGGGGGGGGGAAGTTTTCGGGATTTGGCGGTCAAGGCTGGGTCGCTGGGTTTAGGGTTTAGGACTTGGGGTCTGCTTGTCTGGTTCGGCAGGTTCGGCGCAGCTACTTGGAGTCCTGAAAGAAGACGCGAAATCGGCTCCATCCCCTCCAGAATCCACCCTTCTAGTGCCAAGAGTAACCTAGGAAATCAAAAAGGGGTGCCCTTTTTGTTTTAAAGGGCCTTAGAAGGGACCCTAAGCCAAAAGGAAAAAGGGACGAAGGCCCTACTGCTCTCTTGGTCCTAGTTTTCGAAAGCTACAAGTGCAGAAGGTCGGATGAGCAACAGAAGTGCAGCCCAGGTATGCCCCGGCTGAAGAATGCAGCCGAGGCGGGCGGTTGCGAGGGGGCTGAAAGTTTCGGGCAAACGGCACACTCTGCCGATCCCTGATGGGGCGTGCCCGCGTCTAAGGGTCTATAGGAATTCAGCCCGGTCGGCGCTCATTGCACAACCCGGCCCTACTTTGAGGTTCATGGGTACCTATAACCAGAGTTCTCAGTCTACTTATAACCTACTTAAGGGACTCGGGGGGCTTATGAATAATAGTTAGGGTTAAAAGTACCATGAACCTCCAAGTACGGACAGATCAGGAAGGCAACCGCTTTTGTTGGAGGCTGTGAATACACGACCCAACCAAAAATGTGTCAAAAAAGGGGCCGCAAGA